TATATTCTGTTCTTTGCCCTTGAATAATTTAAAAATGTATAGAATAAAGTGTATTTTTTTTCCCGTTCCATTGAATGATACCTGGTAATCAAAATACTGCATTCATATCTTGCTGCAATGATCTCATTTCTATTGGGACACCACTGCTGTGAGCACAGGCCCATGTTGTGTTCATCCTGTTACAACCAGATAAACTCATAATGTAGACAGATAAGAGCTATGCTCATTAATCTATTAATTGCCTATTGTCAGTTGTCAATATGTTTTGCTTGATGGGAAACCTGAAGATTAGTTTGTATTGTGATGATGTAGATTTTTTTCTTATTCTTATTTTATTTTGATGTGCAGGGTACTATGAAATGACATTCATCTGGTAGCGTCTTGCCTGAGCAGAATATAGCTGCTGGGTTTTTTTGCTTTCTGGAACCAGGAAAAATGTAATGCCCCAAATGGTCATGATATAAAAACCGTATTTTGAATGGTAAGAGCCCACAAGAGTGGTGAGCATGCCGAGCAGCACATCTTTTATGATGGGCATTCAGGACATCCTTAAAGTCAACACAGCTTGAGAGACCCTGATTTCCTGGGGAAGCTGAAACTCTGTGGGGACTTCATTGTTCATTGGAAATTTGAGACTGATCTTGTCTGTGACTGGAGCTGCCGGAGCAGGATTTTATTATAATTGTGTGACCTTTAATACACCATGAAGAGATTTCAAGTTCCCTATTTTTCCAGACTATAACAAATCAAATGTTTAACTATAATGTACAGTCACCAAGTTTACACCTTAGAGCAAAGTGATTTTGCAAGGGCTTCTCTCCCAAAGAATAGGTGAGTGCAGGCTGCTGCAAAAAAGGGGCATGTCACAGAAGAACTTAATAGGGCTATTCGAATTGCAGCTTTAAGTCATGTGAACCATGGACAAAAAGCCTGATCCAATATGTGCATTTAATAGCATAGAGGAGATTTTAAATAGAGCTTGGGGGAGTAGTAATATTCCTGAGACATTTCTGCCTGTGGCAGGAACTTAAAAAATAAAGTCTTCACTTTTTATGAGTTGGTAACTTGACCTGTTTGTCATTTTATCACTTGCAACATTTTCAGTTAAGTGGTCAGCATTTAAAACCCTGAGGCCAGATCTTTAGGTGGTGTAAATTGATTACAATGGAGTGTACACCAGCAGAGGATTGCAAAGGGACATGTTGTGCCAATGATTTTATTTTTTAGTCAAACTCTCTAGTTAAAGTGGCTTAAAAAAAAATCAATGATGCATTCTGGCCTAGAGAGATTGGCCTTCAAGAGGCCTACATGTGTTCAGATTATTTCTTTTAAGTGTT